TTTGTGCGTTTTTTTTCTAGTGCGGACTTTAATTGAACTCGTCAAAACGAAGTTTTCTACAGCAATCGTTTTGCGCACATCGTTGGTTCTCTCTATGAAGCTATGAAAAATATTGCTCGCAATTTTTCATTCTCTGAACTTTACGAAATCGTAGGATTGAGTAATGTTCTGAAATGCAATATACGGAGTGTTTATCCTGTAATTGATTATCGGCAAGATTTAAGCATCATGAATAATACTTTTGAACATGCTCACTCCAATCCTTCGTCCAATACAATTTTTATATTTTGGACACATACTCAAAGTGAAATGCACGTACGCAACAGCAATTCTGGCAACTGGACACCGAATCATTTTGTACCATTATTACTCCCATTGGATGATGCTGCTTTTCAAATCAACCCATCGGAACAAGAACCCGTTTATTTGGCTACTGTGAGTGTTAGCTTTTAGCGAAAACTTTTCTTATGGAAAGATCACATGTGCCAATAAATACATCAACCTGCTGCAGCAAAGACATCTTGATTTTGTATAAAGCAATGAACGTTCTTTTGCATAAAGTTGCTTATCCTTCTTTGAATGTCGTGTGCTTTTATTCTATACCTTTTTCTCCTGTTGCTTTTTTCGTCCTCTGGCTTATTCTCTTTCTTTTTTCATCTTTCTAATTGTGCGTGTGTGCTTTTGAAGAATAGCACATAATCCCTTTACGTAGATAGTGCATGTGGATATACTTTCTAAAATTGTACTGTTAATACAAACTATTCTTATTCTTAGGCGGGATCATACACCATTTTATGCTTCAATAATTTTCATTATATCACACTTTTACTTATAGACGCCCACTAAATCAACAGAGAAGAATAATATTGTAACTCAAGTTCGTATTCCACAATTCAGTCCAGAATACGACGAAAGGCAGCCAGTTCACTCAGCCTCAACGACTCCTCGGACCAAACGTAGACAATATACAACAGAAAGCAACACCAATGCCGAAACAGCAAATCTAGAGAATCAGCCGATGCTAGTCCGTCAGAGTATGGCAGCCGGGCGAGCAGAAGCTGCACTAGAAAAGGTCCAGCGACAGCGGATACTTGCTCGGGAAAGAAGTGCAGCCAGAAGAGCTTCCTTAACATCGGAACAAGTCGAACAACAGCGTGCACATGATCGGGAGAGAAAAGCAGCTAGTAGGGCTTCCTTAGCATCGGAACAAGTCGAACAACAGCGTGCACATGATCGGGAAAGAAGTGCAGCCAGAAGAGCTTCCTTAGCATCGGAACAAGTCGCAAAACAGCGTGCACATGATCGGGAAAGAAGTGCTGCTAGAAGGGCTTCCTTAGCATCGGAACAAGTCGAACAACAGCGCTCATATGATCGGGAAAGAAGTGCAGCTAGTCGGGCTGCCTTAACGCCGGAAGAACTTGATCAACGACAAGCGCATGTCCGTGAGAAAACTGCGGCTTGGCGAGCTACGCTTACATCGCAAGAGATCGAACACCAACGTGCACTTGCTGTTGAAAGAAGTATGCATAAACGAGCTGTTGT